GGCCTCCCAAGGGCATGTGGGGAGCGGATGGAGTGGGCTGAGAAGCTGCAAGTAGCAAAGTGAGGCGCCAGCAGCGTTTTCTGGACATCCACGAAGCTCAGGTTTCCAAAAGGTTTAAAGATGTTCCTCAAGATCCCAAAGAAATGGAATATGTATTTTATTCGTCAGTATGAAATCTGAGGGGTCAAGGCTCCTTTTCCTTATCATCTAATCCCGAGCAAGGTCTTCTCCCCATATTAGATCATCTATCCAAGGAATTTGGATTTACCTGAATCAACAATACATCTTCATAACTAAAAGCTTCCCACTGGGAATCATTTCTGTAGTTCCCTGGAGTTTGGTTGAATGTTGAATTCCAAGAATTTGGATTTATCATGAGTCACCGCACTCGAGGTGTCCCTTCATCTTGTTCAAATCAGATTTTGAACGTCCAAGCCTCCAAGTTGGTCGGGAGTGTCCAAACACCAAGACGCTGCAGCCTGAAAGGCACTTGATGTATGATGATCCTAACTATAATAGGGAATCAGTAGCTTGGCTATTTGCATGCAGCACCAAACGGTTTTTGTTGTGGGTCCTGAATTCAAAGGCAAGTCCGTGTCGAGTCCCTACTTGTAGCAGATGTGAAATTCCTGGCGGATGTGTAGCTTTGCCTGCCTGCTTGCATGCATTCTGACCAGCTGGCCGATGCCAAAGGGCTCGGGAGTGTCTCAGTTTTCAAGTAACATCGTTTCATCATGTGTGTCAAAGAAAAACAGCCCGACTCGGTATCTCACGCAAGGGGAGACTGTGACAAAGCATGACCTAAGACAATATATTCACATCACTATCAGACAGAAGCCTTAGAGTCTATAAGAGTTAGAACTATATTGGAGACACATCCACCAAAACATCAACCAGTCTCGGAAGAACTCACATCCAAGTCATCCTTCGTGGTTTCTCCATCCTTGCGGCTGGTCTTGAGCATCCTTGCAGCCGGCACGGGCACCCAATGGACTAGTCGGACCACTGGTCGGGCACAGCTGGAAAGGGATTCACTTTATAGGAGACAACGCGACTCGGAGAACCTCTGTCAATCGATATTTGGTCATCCTCACGTGGAGAAGTGGAAGAGAGCACTTGAAGAGACAATGGGTCATAGTCACTATAGTCACTGAAATGTTCCTTAAAGGAAATCGAACACTTGACTGTCGGTAGGGAAAGATTTGTAAGGCCCCTTTTGGGCTTTCTTCTGAGTTGTTTCTGCCGTCGCAGACGGACAGCCTGGAACTCATGTCGCATGCGTGGAAGTTGGAACTCCCACCCAGGAAATCCCAAGCAAAGATTGCGGAAAGTTATCCTTTTCGCACCCAAATGCGAAACCCTGGTTGACTACCCCCAAACAGAATACTAGTTTATCTGCGAGGTCGGGTCAACCTGGGTCAACCGGGCTCTGGGTGCCATCCGCCATAGATCTCAGCTGGTGACCCGCTTCACCGGGTTTTACGCCCGAACCGCCGAGCTTCTACCCGAGTGGACAGAACTCGTTCTGCCAACCGAGTGGGGTTGGAGAGGGTGCGAGGAGGCCCTTTGAGGCGACGCGGCCACCGGTGAAATCACGCCGTGAACGTGTTTGCGATCTCTGGGAGTTATATGACAACCGAATGACAACCAAGAGTGGAGAACGTCTCTAACTTCTGTAACTATATGCAGACCTCTCAGAGACTCTTGGACGAAATAGCTGGGTAGAAGGTGAACTACTGCAAACACATGAAAAGCTATTGCAATGAGTTGGTCACTGTCAAGGGGGGTTGTCACTCGCTTGTGTAGGAGAAGTTCAAGCAGTGTTGGTGTAGAACGGTAAAGAGGAAGTTCCTGCTTGTGATTTGTTTCCGCCACTTCCTCCGCTTGCTGAGAACACCGGCGCGACGAGGCCACTTCTGCGCTAATAGGGGCTGGTCCAATGGGGGTGGGGGGGATGCAAGTTGGAACGAAAGCACCAAACAAGACATGAGGAATGACCATCCGAAAGCCACTCCTCCCACGCACTGAAAGACTGAAAGCCCGACTTTCCAGATTATAGTGACAGACGATGGAACCTGTCCCACCGAGTTGAGGAAGAACAAAAGGGAAGAACTGATGAGTGTGGTGATCTGAAAGAAGCACTGAAGAACTGACATGGCCCATGGCTGAGACAAAAGCCGAAGCGTTTTGAGAACGGTGAGTCGACTGTAGTTGACCCTTTGTTTGACCTCTATGCCCGTGGTCAGCCCGGGTCCGGTTTTGAACCAGCCACATGTTTATGTTTGTTTAGGCGCTGGAAACGGGCCATGGATGTACTGCAAAGAGACCAATTGGACTTCCAAAAAGGCTGCTTGCGTCAAAGCCCCTCAGTGTTTAAGCATAACTCTCCCCTTTGTGGTCTCAACATGCCAAAATTCATAGAACCTGTGTCCGATACACTAGAACTGTGTTTGATACGCTGTTCATGTATTCTCTTGTACTATCTATTTAACTTAGGGGTCCCACTACAACATTCTACAACGACGTAACTACAATTTGAAGGACACTGGCCATGGGTGAGAGTCCTCTGTTGGGTATTGGGTAGGCTGAAATTTCTGCCAGCTGCGCTCCTCCAGGGCTTGGCCACGCCATGGCCATCAATGCGGTTCGCTCGGAGCGGAGGTAGGGGACCTCATGGGGTGTTCAAGAGCCTGACAAGTACTCATGCACATACCACCAGTTACTTGCCTCACTTACCACAAACAAAACCACTCTTATGAGAGAAGACATGAGAGGACAAACACCCTAATCAATCCTAATCAACTTGTCCAGTCAATGGGCAGTTCTACAGTTCTATGCTCGACTTGAAGCATGATTTGGGTTCGGGCAGCAGATTGTGTGCGTTCCGCTAGCCATCAAGGTGTGTACAGCTGGGGGATTCAGCAGACTTCTTTACTGCTCTCAGCAGACTTCTTGAACATCAGTCAGAGTTTGATCCCCAGGCTCCCTTCTCGGAGGTCGACGCCCGACTGCCCTCGGCGTGGCATCCCGTGCCGTGCGTTTCACGCGTCGCAGGACAGATGAGTACTTGAAGCTCAAGCAGAGCACGGACGAAGTGGTAGCTCCCGGGCACGGACACCCGGGCGCTGAAGGCCGTAGTGACAGGGGTAGAAGGGAACCACACGATCGAGGCTGGTGGCGCCAGTGATCGGTGCTTCGAGCGTTTCGAGATGAAGCAAGAGATGGCCAGACCGTGGTCAAACGACTTCAGCCTGAGAGTGATCGTTTCGAAGACGACTGGTAGCACCGACTGGTAGCTTGGCAGCTGTGCAACCTGTTGCGAAGTTTTTTCCAGTCTACCAGAAGTTTTCGAAGCAACACCCACTCCTGAACACTCTCTACAACATTCTAAAACAAAGCCGGTCACAGAGTTTCGAATGTACGTCACGTTATTATAGATTTGCTGCTATAGCGCTGAGAACCTTCTATTTTGGCGTTGCATGCACTTGGGTTTGGCGGTTTCAAGGATGCTGAAACAGAATGAAGGGAAAGCCCTTGGTCGAAGTCCTGTCCTCTCAGATTTGATATTTCTTTGACCAAACAACTGTATCCGGAGACCACTTCAGTACACAACCAGTTGGGCTTCGACTTGAATCCCAGATCCAGAGATGCCCAGACACCCCTGGTAACATGCGGGGGTCAGCACTCAAAGGTGTAGATGCTCAGCAGATGTTACCACCTGCTGGGAGTCAGCTGTTACACTGGTATTTCCAGTTCAAGAATCCATCATTCTCCCTTTGAATCCGTGTTCTTTCAACCGAGGACGCCGAGGACCCTTGGTTCCTTGCAGGGATGATTACAACACGTGAGGTCTCCAGATCAACTTGTTTGGGTAGTTCGAATGCTCATGGAGCAGGGGACTGCTAGCCTGCCTATGCCGGCCACTGAGCACCAGCCAGTCAAGGAAGGAACATCGTTTTCTGTAACCAAGCGATGTAACAACATGGCTCACAGTGCTGCTCCCAGGACGTACGAGCCTGGCAATGGAAATGCGGGGAAGCACGGATCTGGAAACCATGTCCGGGTAGCCAGAAGTATAACCTTTGCAGTATCCACTTTAGCAGAAGTAATGCACTTTCTTGGATACCGGGAACTAACTAATAGAGGCAGAACAAGTTATATAGAATAAATTTTGGAACACATACAACATGTAGTCACGTAGTCCATGGGAACTGCCGCCTTTCTGCTACCGATTCATACAGCCAAAGAGTCAAACAATCAAAGCATAGCAGGTTGTTCTTTTTGCAGACTCCGTTACACTGTTGAACTGTTGGCTGGTACATGTTCAATAGACAGAGCCTTCGGTCCGGAGGCGCGTTAGCAATGCTGCAGCATGCAGCAGCATGGCCACATGGAGGTGTCCCAGATTGTGCTTTCTGATGCAGCATTTGCTCAAGGCATTTTGATGTGGCCTGGACAATGGAATGGGTCAGTCATTCATCATGGATGGGCCAGGTATATGTTGACATGTCATTATGATTAGCAATGGTCTGTAGGACCACTTATTTTATGTTGAGTCGGTTGCTCTCAGTTTGTCAGGTTTGCAGCCGCTTTTGACATGGTACATCCTGGTACGACCACATGGAGTACAGCCAGCAGGGTCGACACTAGGACTCCACCTTTAGTTTTACTTTGATGTGTAAACATGCATACTTTCAATACCATTCAAACCCATTCAATATTCAATATACCATGATGGCAGGCGACCAGGGAAACCGCCATCAACATGTGAACTGCGATGGGGAAAGATTTGAGCCCCAATGAATCATCATTTGCCGGTTTCTACTAGGAACAAGAAAGCTACTAGGGGCTCCTGGCATCGCTACTAGGAGCAAAGGACGCTACTAGTAGCTAGTCTCACAGTGGATCACATGCTTCCGCGTTCAGCCAGGACACTCCAACGGAATCAGGTCTTTTCTGTTCACAGGTGAGTGTCTTGCTCATCCACACGCTCATGCGCCATGGATGGGCTTCACAATGGGCTTCGCCCTCAACCGCTCCTCGGAACGTGGAAAGCACCAGGACCTTTTCGACCTCAGATCCTTTTGAAAGCACTGCGCGACCGGGGTGTCCCCCGATGGACGACCTGGAGCAGCGGAGCCTCTCGGGCGACCCTGGCCCTGGCCTTGGCCGCTGTGCCACATTGGCGCGGCACAGCACGCCGGGTGGCACACCACGCAGTAGCTCCAGGCGCCGCGGATTGGGCGGCACCAGTGGCTGTGGCTCGGAGTGCAGCGGGCGAGGTGGAGTTGGCACTGGGTGCTGTGGAACAACTCGTGGATGGAACCAGGAGAGGCTGGAAAGTAGCCGCTGGCAGGCTTTCACCCCAGGAAGCTGGTGGGGATACAGTAATTGGAATAACATCGGAAAAATGCAGCTGAAACACAAGTTGTTGGAAAAGGTTTAGAAGCATTATGAGGCATCCTCAGGAGTTTTGTAAGATTACAGATCAGGTTTTCTTCTGACTTGGTCCTCCTTTCCCACCCAGAAGCAATAGTTTCATTTGAGTTCATGGTATACCGGTAAGCCTATCTACATATCTCTCGATTTCAGTAGCTCCGTTTCGATGATACTGGAATCCTCGGATGACCTGTTCGCGGACTCCAGGACCTACCCCCCAAGACCTTGGACAATGCAGTAAAATTGGCCACAAGATTGCAATATCTTATAGCAGTATAGTGTATATCCCGGTCCCAGGCTTTGGCTTGACCTAAGAAAAGCCATAGAGATCCCTGTAGATGCCCAGGTCAACCAGTGTTTGTTTTGCAGTCTGGCCCACTCATGGATCGTAAAAGTTGGTCTTTTTACAGTGAATCTTCATGGGTCGATTCATCATTAGGTTTTTCCTCCTGTCCCACAAGTAAACTCTGTTTACTGACTGTTACAGCTGTTGTTTGCATCCATGTCATAGTTCACATCAAAACTCGCTAGGAAACATTCAATCATCGGATGGACATCTTGGTCACTTTTGATCGGAAACGGCGGAGTCACCGGAGATGCGCCAGGAGATTGTATGGCCAGATCTTGGATGAGGCATCCCAAAGCTGGGTGCACCGGAATTGGAATTTGAGCACATTTGTTTGACTGGTTTGTGCATCTCTTTGCATTGGTTTGATTGGAAGAACATCCACAGAAAGCTCTAGGAACTCACACGAACTCTGCCTGTTTGTTTAGATTGGTATTAGCCCTTTGACGGAAGTCCAGGTCTTTGCTTTTGATCTCAATCCGAGGTGCCTATCCTACTGGTGGAGAGCCAGGGCGTGTGGCAGAACCAAGATCTCTCATTGAGTTTTTCGGTAGAACTCTGGCACTTCTTCAGAGCAAACTCAGGGTGGCCCCCCGGTAGATCAATCACCCCTTAAGAGCAGAGCTTTGTTTGTTTGGCGTTTGTGGAGTGAAAACACATAAGTTTTTGAGGAGTTTTGAGCTTGGTCATTCAGTGACTCGGTTATTTGAGGACCGCACAGGGCCCACCCCAGATGTATTGTGTTTTCTTGTTGCTTGCCTTTTGGTTGCGTAGCCGCTTTTCTCGACCTTCGTGTGTTGCTGAGCCCGTGTTTGCTGGCGTGTGCAAGACCTCAAATCCGCTGACGCTACAGGTGCAAATTGGATTTGTTGGGTCCTCACATGTGCCAGTCCTTGTTTGTTCACGAAGAGCCTTTTTTCACATGTAGCTGAGTGACAAGTTGGGTCCTTGGCTTTTTGACTGCTAGTACGTACGTAGGTGTGGTTTGTTTGTTTTTGCTTGAGCGGCTTTAAGAAACACGTATATAAGAGCCATGAGTGTAGGTCCTGTAGGCTGTAGGTGTAGAGAACCCCACAAGATGTAAAAAGAAAAACGACGAACATATGTCCTGTTCAAAAAGCAACCGATACCAAGTCTGACAGTGAGGCTGCCGGATTCATTGGGATTTCCTGTGCATTTGTGACCTCATAATAAGTTGCTTGCTTCGAGCAGGAACTGGGATCAACCATTTTGATCGACAATGACCCACAATGACTCAAGAGGTCTTGTAACAAAGTTGCCAGATCATTAAATCGCGATGTCACTGATACTTGGCGGAAACTTGGAATTCGCTTGAGTCGCAAAATCCTATGGTGTCGTGGTGTTTTGTTCATCTGCTTTCTCGGATCTCAGCGGGTGCGCGAGGCGGTCCCTGGGGCTCCAGTCTGGTCTCCAGTCTGGAGTCGATTTTTGTTCAGCCTTGCGGTTTAGTTAGTTGGCGCCTCAGGAAGAGATGCTGGGCCATGACAACTTGGACGCTGCCGCGCCGTCCTGGCCAAGAGAAGTGGTCCAAGAGCTGTCCAAGTGGCCGTTGAAGGGCCCGGGCACGGTGCCTCGCCGAAGTGAACAACACTACTAAGTACGAGCCTATGGATGTATACAGTATGTGGAGCAACAATGGAGCCACTATATACGTGTCATGTTCATTTTAGATATTAGTGATTGAGATTTTACAAATTGTTTCATTATACAGCACGAGGTCAACATATCATGACCACTTTCCATTACCTTTGGCACCTGCGCCCTCGAATCTATACTGATACTGATGGAATCCATCCAAATTAAGAGTTATGTACCATGGTGGGTAGCCGGAGTAACTAACCTGTAAAGATATTGTTTAACTTTACGCAACTACAAGTTGAAAATGAACATAAAGTTTAAATCAACGGGTGGAAGAGAGCTTGCAATTTTTTTCAGGCTCCACTATAAATAAAGCGACCCGCCCAGAGATAGGATGCAGAACACGCGAAGACCCAATAGAACAGTATTACAGTTGTTGATTATTTGTTTGTTTGTTTTGTTCCTGAGGATGACTGACTTTGTGTTGGTACGACATTGTTCCACCAGGCGGGTTGAAGCCGATTCAGTTTTCGAGGTTGACATCCACAATTTATGTATAGCCAGGGACCCCCAAGTACAGCTCCCACTTAGCTACAGGTGGGAGTTAGTAGGAATCTGGGTTTAAACCAAACAAATATGTGAACTTCTGGTGGAAAAGCGACACCTAGTGGTCTGGGCTGAGGGAGACTTTGAGGCTATGAGATCCCCGTTCCATGGCAGCCCCCAAAAGGGGAACCATCAACCAAATTCATCCAAGTGAACCATGGGGCCGACACTCTTCAGTCAAGTGCAGGGTTTCATGAGTTGTCACACAGTCAGCCGCCACAAGCAGGCCTTCTTGAGCTCAAGCTGTGTAGAGGAGATCTTCAAAGCATTTTGCATGGAGCAACCAACCAGGTCGGGATGTACAATAGCAGGACACCCACATCTATAAGATCTAAGTGACATGTTGAAACAGATATCAGGCCGTTTGGGTTCAAACGCATCTGCTTCCTCGGAATCCAGCGTCCCGACCCAGGGAGCCCCGACCGCTGCCCCCCTTACCGGAAGCACAGGATGCGAACCGACCATACGTATAGCTCGTATGGAGATTCCGGGTTTCTCCAAGCCTGGAATGAGAAGAGAAGTCCAAAGTCTCCCCAGCTCCGCAGCTCTAGAGCTGCGATCCTTCGGTAGAACGACATCAAACGGGCTGCTGCGCCCTTTAACCCCATGACAAATAAGAGGAAATCCTTCTGTGCTGTGTAACTTGAATGTGTGGCTTGGGCTGTTTCAACATGTTTCAACCTATGTGTGTCGCATCAAATCCGGTCAAAAAAGATATCGACTGAAATCATTGCAGGAAACCACATAAGCATTGTTTACTAGACTCATCCACTGGACTCAAAGAATGAGCGGCCAGATGCAGCTCCGTGCAAACCGCCGACGCAAATGCGGCGGGCACGGTACTTGGATCCGTGGCCACTGCGGGCAGCGGCATATGTTGGATGCCAAGTTTCTATGAATAATTCAGGATACAGAGCAGAAACATGATACGCCAGAAAGTATGAATATCCCCGGTCCAAATCATTGTGATGTTGCCACATGGTTTCAACATGTTTCAACCGAAGAAGCAGGTGGGCCTTCGAACACGGACCCCACTCATTTGAAGCCTTTTTCCACACGGTGCATCTCATTTGAACTCGAAGCTTCCTCATTTGGGCCTTGGAAAACGGAGGATTGGAGTTCAAAGGCTTCTTCATTTGTGCCTTCGAACTCGAAGCTTCCTCAGCAAATCTTCTGTATATCACAGGTCGACAGAAGCATCGCGGAAAGCAGATCGCCCCATCCACCTCTCAGGCTTTGGTCATAGCAGTCTTTCTCCTTTCAGATCAACAGCTGCTCTCTGCCCAGCACATCTGGCGTGCTATTGGTGACTCTGCTGGCCATGCCACACTGGCGGGGTTGGTGTGGCTCTCTACTCTGGTGAGTCCACTCAGCTACTTGGAGGGTGTACGGTAGTGGAAAGTGACAGCAAGGAGTATACCCTCGTAGTTGATGATCGCCCGGCTCCGGTGTCCTTTTGGGGAATTCTTATGATTCTTAAGTGCAAGAAGATGCAAGGAAGTACTTGTCCCCGCGCTAGCAATGTGCACACTGACTGTTGAAAGAGTCTTTTGGTGGAGACCCAACAATTTGGAGAGGAGGTGAAGCAGAGCAGATGCTAAAGCAGGGACAATCAGGATTTGGGAGGCAGAGAACAAGCGAATCTGACCTGAGCAGAGTGCCATCTCTCAAGTTGAAACAGTACCGTGCAACCGTGCCTTATTATGATGTTGCTCAGTTCCCGCCAGACTTGTTGTTGACCATTTAATAGAAAGGAGCACTAGTTGGCGGTTTGATTGAAAGAGCGCCACCCTGGAGATGTGCAAGCCCCTTAGCCCTTCCAATGTGTGTAACACCGGTTCTCTAGTTGGCGGCTCATCGAGAAGAACCTGAAGCAATTGAGGTTTGCTGCCTATGGCTCCAAAGACCCTTTACTTGCTGGAGACTCAGTTGAATAGGGATCCAGGGGTGATGGCGACGAGGCCTGGAGGAGCAATCTCATATACCGCCATGTTCAATTACTTCTTTGCGCAATTCACTTGACCCACTTCTTATTGACTCACCTAGTAGATCCAGGTACCAATACCACGATGAAACATGATGAAACTATGTACAAATAGGCTATGAGAGGGTATCTATATCAAGAGCTGGATTCGTTTCTTTTGTGGCTGCCGTGCAATTCGCTAGGACATGCTGGGGAAACTGGAGAAGCTGCGGAGTGAAGCTGATTTACTCCCATCAACTAGACGACACAATCTTTTGAACTGCGATGGCACATTGATGTTCATTGATTCATTGGCCTTTCACCACCAGGCATGTCCCAGGTTCACTGGTGACTGAACCAGGCAACAAACTAATACCAGTTGACACCTATTCACAAGATCTCGCAAATGGACCTCCCCTCCTCCAAATGACCACCGTGGTACTTGTGGTAGTCTCTGGATATCCCTAATGATGTTGTTTGACTCAGTCAGGAGATCATCATCTCCATGGTCCTTGGAAGCTGTATCGACCTGGACCACTTTCTCCTGGCCAGGTCTTTGTCCTTAGAGGACGCTACACACCTAACTCAACGGCCATGGGGACATAACTTCTTGGCCTGCGTGCTGGTGTCTTTGGTCAACTTGGATTGTTGGAAACAAGTTTTTCTTTTCATTTCTTCTAAGGTATTTGGATAGAAACACACATTACGAAGTAGCTGCAGTGGGCCACTGCGGTGGTATTTGGGGCTACTTGGAAAAGGGGCCGGAAAAATGTCTGAGTTGGGATTTGGCGGTTGGAGCGTTAAACATGCTAAATCTTGAGAGAGGCCTTGGACCTCACATGTTCCCAGACGGTGCCTGCGCCAAGGATAACTTCTCAGAGACTACCCGGGATCATTGGGGTATAGACATAAATGATACATATAGAAGAGGTGTCATCACTAGATAGATATATTCCGATTTATTGAGGTCAATATGCCAGGCAGTGCAAGGACTACGCTTCTTCACCAATAGACGTGCGGTCGGGATATATACACATTGATCCATCAAAGACACGCTCCGATTGATTTGTTTTTTGGGGTAGATATCCACTGTTGTTCAGAGTTCATTACTATGCATCGCTTTTCGTTGGACGACCAACCCTCTCTCGATTTTGGAGGCGTTCCTTCTGTTGGGTGTCTAATCAGGGTGGTCTATCTCAGCACTGGTCGCCCTCGACTTGCGCTGGTGAGTTTCTCCGCCTATGTGACGCACCTCCTCCGCGATGCCGTGCGGAGGGGCGTGAGCCTGTGGCCATCGCGCGTGAGTTGTGGAACCAGTTGCCAGGCGTGCTCAACTCAAGAAAGGTGACCGGTGCCACAGCCCCCCCACAAATTGCCACCTGAGCTGTGTCCATACACTCGGAGGAGAACATCATGTGGGAACAATTTGTGTAGGTGATTTGCGGTGGGCGCAACAACCTATTGAATCTGAGGTTTCTTTGGATTGTTTTTAGGTGTCAATCCATGGAACCAATTTTTCTTCAATTCGTTGCGGTGCCTAAAAACGTGCATCCCCTCGGCTTGGTGGTTGCAATTTGGATTTGGAAACTTGCCTTCTAGATTCACATTGAAAAGCAAAAATCTGTGTTGCCCTAAAGTAGCTACCCTCCCATTATTAAGCATATTTGAGACATGTTCTGGTGGGAAGATGAGAAGAACTGTCGGTTTCAGCAGGTGGAATGGTTCACAACGCCGGCCTTTCCACATGGACTGGTGTTTGCCCTCTACTTCGCCCTGCCCTTGTTTTTTGCCTGGCTGCTGTCGCGGCGGTCCAGCATGTCGACCGGGCGGAAGGTGGAAGCAGACGAGATCCCAGTGTAGCGGGGCAGAAAAAGAGTGAAGCTGCGCTGGCGTCAATTTTTTTGTGAGTTAATTTCCCTCCTTGCAAACATGGAAGTGGACAATTCCCTGTTTGTAAAGGAAAACGGTCCTTTTACTTCCACGATTGTTGGGGAGACCTTTCCCAATGATTTGTCATTTTCAATCTTCCAGGTGATCTTCGACCCCAACTACTTTGTGCAGCGTGGCCCCTCCTGCGCCCTGTCAAGTGGCGCCCCAGTGCTTTTCCCTGGTGGAGCCGAACAGCTTCAACTGCCCACACAAAGGCGTGAACCGGTGCAGACGTCAATGGGGTCCGATGTTTGCTCCAAGGGAACGGGCTGGACCAACACCCACTCACTGGAACAACCCACAGAAACCAGCTGTCAATTAGGAAGTGGTGGGATGTTCTATTTTTAAAACTAGAATAGCACATTGAACTCATGGAACATCATGGAACACTTTTTTTGGACAATAGAATGGGGGGTCTTGGAGGCTTTGGAGTTTCTGTCTAACTACAATCAACAAAGCAATCTTCGGTCTGACAATATGAAAAGTAGCGAGAGAGCAGTCGACATCAGGATCCTTGATTCTTTGTCAATTGGCTGTCCAGGCCCCAGGCAGTATGCCAGCAAATTAAGACTTATTGTTCCACCTTTAGAAGAGAGGACGAAACAAACCACCTCTTTGCATCTCAGAGATGTGCAGCGTATTCGGTGTTTCTTACAGTTTTATTACAGACATACTGGTACTTAAGTTTGGCATAGTATATACCTTAAGCGGCAGAGGATTATACTCCCATCAATATAGCAGTTTTTGCTACAACAGAGAAGCTCGGCTCAATTTAACATTTTGCTTCCAGTGTAAACCTCCTTGCTCGAAGAGCCATGGCACCTTTTCCCGCTCTCTTTTGGGGCGTGCTGGCAATGGCAGTTCCATCCATGGCATTGCCCATTGAAGAGGCGGATAAGGACATGCTGTACTGCAACTTCCCCATGGAAGCCAGTCGTCTCCAGAGCTACCTTAACCCCAAGCTGGAGCCTGAGCTCTACGACGGCAAGGCATGGGTCACCGCCATGATCTTCGAGGTCGCCTCTCTGAAGCTTCAAACACCCTTAAAAGTGTCGATTCCTTTGGGGGGTGGCTCTGAACTCTTTAAGCTCACCACTAATGTGGTACGGAAAGAGACCGGCGACAAGGGCTACCTCCTCATGAATTTGGACTTCCCAAGCAGCGCTCAGGGCTGGATCCAGAAGATTGGTTGTAGTGCCACTCAGCCAGGAGTGCAGTGCGGCGCCAGCACTGCTGTCCTGGACAAGAGTTCCGCGCACATCACATCCTATGATCAGATCACTTTCGATGTGGACTTCCAGGTGACCAGTGAGGAGGAGGACCCAAATTTTCTTCAATACCTCATCAACCGCCCCTACAAGGTCCTGCAAGATGGCCCGCGCGGCGTGGTACGCATGGCCCAGCAAGAGGGCAAGGCCGCAGCCGGCAACTATCAGGGCTATCAGATGAAGGTGCAGTCGCTGAAAAGCTCGGTCTTCTCCAAGCGCTGGCCCAGCCTTCAAGTGGACGAAGACCTTGCGTCTGCGCGGTGTTTCTGGGCCCGGCAGTTGGTCTTCGTGGACCACGACGGCGAAGAGATTTGAGAGTGCTGAAGGTTTCACCGCCACGGCCGGAGTCGGCCTGAGTGATGTTTGTCCAGTGCTCACGGGAGTGCTAGGCTCACGAGAGTGCGAAACAAAGGAAAAGGGCACTTGAAATATCTTGGAATGCTGCAGAATGCAGCGACGTACAACCTCACCCCTGAAATTTCCAATCTGACCTAGTAGGATGTTGGCACTTTCTTTGGGAACCTTTGCACCCGGGGGGCTACCAAAAGTTAAGATCCCTTGTTGGTATAGTTGGTTGGTACTATAGGAGCATTGATGAACCCTGCAAATTAGTGATTTATAAACAAATCGACCTTGAAAGGAGGAAAACCCTTCCCAGTGGCCTTGGGGAAAGGACCCCTTTGTTGTAAGTCATTGCAAGGGTTACTCAGAGAAGCTCCTAAAGGAGGGGTGCACTTTGTGGATAGTTAACCCTGCCGTGAACGGTTCTTTTGCAGTGCGGAAGCAACTTAGAGTGTGGGCCTGTATTCGTATTACCTCCTCATGAGACTCATACATTTTAGCTACCTTTGACATCCGTGCTTGACCCATTTTGAGGCGATGCAAAAAGCAGGTTCCTCTTCTTCATTCGTTCGGTCAGATCAGATCCAACGGATGGGTCTCAAGGGATGAAGGCCATCCTCTCCACCCACCGCCCACACCGTCACGCGCGGAAACGCCAACTGATGGCAGCAGGTGGATTTCTGCGTTGGCCTCCAGAGATTTGAGGACGTCCTCACTTGCGTCACTTAAGCTGGGGCCGCTGGGGCCTGGGGCCCGGTGTTGTGGCGGGGAGTCTGGGTGAACTAGATTGGCATCTCACACAGTTGGGCAGCAGGAACTCTAAGGGTGGAAAGAAGTAGATGATGTCGCGTCGTAAGATGAAGTATGGTCTAAGGGTTTCCCATGCTTGGCGTGACATTTAGGGCATGGACATGTCCGTTAATACACATCGCAAATTAAACTATTGTGTGGTATGATTTGGCATGATCGTAGATGCAATCTAGTCCGTCACCGTGGTCCCTTTTGACATGCCAGCTGACTCTTGTTCGTTTCGCAGCAACTGCCGGGCTCACAGGAGCTTGCAGGGTGTCTTGGGAGGTCCCGATTTCTCACAGATGATGAGAAACTTGCCCGACGCATGGCGGCACCACAGTATTTGCGTGAAGTGGGGACGCCTTTGAACCCTTTGACACCTTGTGAGCACGAGGAACGGCTATCTAGTATTTATTATATATATATAATATATGTATTTATGAAGGTGATAACCTCGAAAGGAAGACTGCCCTCCTTGATTTCCTCTACACGAATCACTTGCACGAACCGCACCTCCTAGACTCCTTATTATAGGTAAGACCCGAGTATTTTTGTGTGGTAGAAAAGAGGGAAGAGAGCGGGTTGTCTACGTCCATGATTGTTAGAGGCAGGGTAAGCCACAACTGCAAGACATGAATACTTAGGTCACAAGGGCCCTGTTTGTGTTTTCTCTTGTGTTTTCCGGCCGAGACCTCCTGCACAGGAAGATTGACCAGAATCAAAGGGGGGTTCTGAACCATGCCACCTACTCATATCATGGTTTTGCGGTTGCAACGTTTTCGCTACGTTGCAACCCTCTTGGACAATTTTCCAAAGCAAGCTAGCAAAGCTGGTTGAAGGGTTTGATTAAGGTTTGAGGTGGTTGATCATTTTCCTTGGTTCATCTTGGTTCCTTGCAAACACTTAACATTTGATCCCAAAGGGTTTCAATTGCCATCTGTGTGTTTTTTTACGTGTTTTTAAGTTGAAAACTCCGGTCATACGTAACAAGAAGAACTGGGGGGTCAGCTGCCATCAACGTCCCAATCGAAAACACCGACACAGGGCAAGCCTAAGCTTGCTGCTTGTGTCAGCAAGTTGTTTCAAACACCATCTAAATAAAGCCTTCAGAATAGCATAGAGTAACCTTAAGTGTTCGGAGTTTGGGCACACAAACATACCAAACCAGTACCCTTCAACACTCGTGTGCATGTGTGTCAACCAATCGCATGCATATAAGGTACTTTGATGAATGACATCCCACGTGGCAAGTAGGACTCACACAATATAGGACCAGGACCTATATCGGGCTCCTTTTTCCCAGGTGTTTATCCGAGACAATGCAATGTCGAAAAGGCAAGATGCTACTGCCTTCACAGCTCCAGTTCACACGCTGTTCTGACGGTGTGAGTCCGAGGTGTCCCATTTGCACCCCGTTAAGGCTGTGAAATAGGCTGTGTCAGGGGGTTCTAAACTCACCACCCGGCCCTGCCTTGTGGGTTTGTGGTGCTAAGGAGTCCTTGACCGCCGCACACTTCGACATCCTCTCAGCCATCGACGCTGAGAGCTGTTCCAAGACCTATTCCGTCCAAGTCGGCAACATGGACGTGAGGAGCGAGGCCTTGGCCTTGGAATCGGCCAGCTGGACCTGTGGAGCTATGCTGCGACAGGTGAGTGATGAGCTCAGAGAGGCAGGCTGTGAAGTGACCCGGCAGATTGGTTCAGTGGGTTCAGTGAGGAGATGTTGATGTAGGTGAGCTTGGGCAATGAGGGCAGATACCTATATTGTAATATTGCCTAGCCTATATGTAATATTGGGATGATATGGCGTGTTCACGAGGCTGCCCGCAATGAATTAACATCTGTATATCACCCGTGCTATCACGGACACACCTCTGACATCATTGTTCTTCACTTCTGTTGACATCTTCATTTTCTGGCCCTTGCTCATTGTTTCTACATAGGAATCCAACACTTCCAACGAAGCAACACGGACACGAGCTGGAGCTCTGGTTCATAGAATTTTGACTCGAAAGCACTGGAATTTGGCTCATGTTTGGTTTTCTAACTTGCATAACATCAATGAGGTGGGCGATTTGCTTTGCCGGATTGGTGATCGAGATGTTCGAAGGGAGAAGCTTCTGGGCAGATTGGTTCGGCCTTGCCAAGGCCGATTGCATTGCACTTCCCCAGTCTTGACTATAGGACAAAGGTAGTGAGCCTGTGAGCCCCAAACCATACATATTATATCATATTGTAATATACAGTTTCAAGCCCATGTTGATGGATCCAATACTGTGGAGGATTTGTGAATCTAGATTCTCCGTACCTGATCAGATGTAGCACCAGTTACATGTACATGACATAGCTTGTATAGATGTATGTTTCACTGCAGCCGTTTGTGGTTTACTTTTGTGTTCATTTCGATACCAGAGCTCACGCGTGTTTGAGCTAAAAGTGGGCCTAAGCTTCTACTCCAACCTTTGGGACAGTGACTTGGGGTCACAGAGTTTAAGAGCCTAAATTCTCCGTTCATGGTAGCGGAGCCGCGGTTCTAAGACCCGGCTACCGTCTGCGAATCGAAGGTTGCCGAGCCGCATCGGCTCTGGCACCGGAGATCCACAAAACAAGCATCACTTGCAGGAAAGCCGGATTGCTTCAATCCCTGGCTAGCAAGTCAGCATGGCGCAACAGCCAGGAGCACAGGCACCACAAGCCACAGACATGGCACAACAATTTGCACAGATGATGCAAGCCCTAGCACAGGGGCAGAACCAATTGCAACGAGCAATGGCAGAAGCATACACACAACAAACGGCGATCACAAGGAACATAGCCACTAGCGTAGAAGTAAGAGACAGATCCGAGTTGAAAGGCATTCCAAAGCCTGACAAGTTCAGTGGACACACAGGTACCTGGGATTCATGGTACTTCAAGTTCAAGACTTGGATTGAGACAAGTCACAAGAATGCAGGAAAGTGCATTCAGCTCCTCGAAGAGCATCAAGACACAGAGATCAATGAGACATCTCTGGAAGATGATTATCCTGAAGGAGCCGAGCTTGTTTCAGCTCAGGCCCGACAGGCTCTGATCTCACTATGTGAGGGGGAAGCCCTCGAGATTGTCAAGAATACCTCCAGAGGTCAGCACTTTGGCCTAGAGGCATTGAGACGATTGATCACCAAGTATGATCCACAGAACCCACAAGCAAACTCAGCTTTGCTGAAAAAGGTCCTGCACCCACAACAGTGTGCACTGGACAAGCTCAGAGAGAGCATAGAAGCCTGGGAAAACATCAGGCGAAAGTATGAAGAGCGAAAGAAGAAAGCTCTTGATGATGACATCGCAAGAAGTTGTCTTCAGCAGATGTGCCCAGCCAAGCTTCAAGATCACCTTGACCTCCAGAGTTCAAGACTCACTGACTATGCCATCATGAAGTCAGATATTTTGGCCTACCTCGAGAACATCGAGAGCCGAAAAGAAGCAAAGACTGGATCAGCACCAATGGATGTTGATGCACTAGCCGCAGCTGCCAGCCAGATGCAAGCTTCACTTGCAAGTCTGGCTAAAGCCAAAGGAAAAGGCAAAGGTGGCTCAAAAGGCGGCAAAGGAAAAGGAAAGAGTCAAGATGGAGGCAAGGGAAACGACAAAGGTAAACAGAAGGGAAAAGGTTCTTCATGGTCCAATCCCTCGTCATGGAACAACTCATGGAACAAGAACGATTGGTATAAGAATGATTGGAACAAGAATAGTTGGTACAACCAAAACTCCAAGGGTAAAGGCAAAGGTGGCAAAGGCAAAGACTCTAAAGGTAAAGGCAAGAGTAAAAGTAAGAAGGTAGCTTCAGTTGAGGAATCTGAAACCTCTATGGCTCAAGAGCATCAACCCGAGCCTGAGTATTCCGCTGACATCGCCACCCTCTTTGCCATCGAGATGGAGAAAGCAGCACCTGCCGCAATTTCTCGTGGAGCAGCCAAGGCAAAAGCTGAGACTGAAGTCAAGGCTATGCCAAAGAAGCCAGGAGCTGGAAAAGGTCGTCCTGGAATTGCAGCTGCTGGGATTGCAGTCATGAACCAAGCAATCCAAGAGACCATGCAGTCCAATCGCGAGCTGTATGAGAAGAAGTCTGAGACAATCCAGAAGGCCATCGAAGAGGCCGAAGCCAAAGGCAAAGCAGCCAATGACGCCATCTTGGAACAACAGGCCGAGATGAAGAGGCTGAAAGAACAGTATGAAGAAAAGGAGAGAGAAGCCAAGATCTTGCTGAAGAGGCCAACTCCTCGCCGCGCCGCTTCGGTGCCGGCGGAGTCGCCAAGGCTCTCAGCTGATTTGGCATCAGGCATGGACCCAAGATTGGCCAAGAAGAAAGAGAAAAGCCGTCAGCGCGCCGAGCAGCATCGCGTTGACAAGGCCCAGGATCGTTTCGAATCCTGGCGCGACTATGAGGCCAATTACCCTGAGGAGCTCGACTACTATGAGATCGCTCGTGCCAAGGGTACTGGTCGACTTCAAGCTTGGGATGATGAAGATGATGAAGGAAAATTTGATGAAGCCCCTCAGCCTCGAGGTCGGGAAAAGGCCCAGAGGCATCGTGGCTACAAGAAGCCAGGAAAGGCAAAGAAGCCTGAAAAGCCAAAAGAGAAGGAGCCCAAGATCGAGGATCTCTCCACTCAAGAGTTGGCAGAGATGAAGCGGGAAAGCCAAACATGGACGGCTACTAGCCATCCAGCCCGCAGTGTCATCGACAAGGCGCTCACTGCAGCTGGGTTCAACCCAGAGGACTATGTTGCGATGAAGCGCGTCGAAAGCCAAGGCGAAGGAGCAACAAGCGCACCATCCTTCGCAGCTCCAGTCATGGAGAACATCAATCCCCTTGATGTGATTGAGATCGAGGGACTCGAAGAAGAAGAAGAGTTTGAAGGTGAAGTTGAAGAGGATGAGAATGGCACTGAGCCAGCTGACGAGGAGTCAGATGGACAAGAAGAAGAAAAAGAGAAAGATACCGTGCCATGGCTCGATCACATGTTCCAAGAGCGCATCCTCAGCTATGATGAATGGGTAGCCAAATGCACCCACAAGAACAGAGATGGCAGCCAGAACATGGTCTGCCGTGCGTGCAACAAGGCCCTGAGGTGTGACAATGACACCGGCCTATGGAACCATCATATGGCTTTGAATTGCTGCCCGCCAAAAGTCCTCAACCAGTGGGCAAAGGAATGGACGATCAAGCAGAAAGAGATGGGAAAGCGCATCAAGACTGCCAAGGGACAGCAAGGCAGCCCAACTTCAAAAGATGCGCCAAAGCATGTGAAAGATGCCGACATGGATCTGAAGCCCGAAGATGTGGCAAAGCATTTGAAGATGAAAGATCCAAAGCTTGAGACCGTTAAGAACGAACCTCCTTTCTACATGACAGCCCATATGCAGAAGATGATGGAAGAGCAGGAGGAGGAAGATGAGGTTGGCCCAAAGACGCCAAAGCAAAGGCGCATTGCCAAGACACCTCCACCTCCTGAGAAGAAGGGCAAGACCAAGGAGGAACGCATGGCCTGGTTCAAGAGCTCGACTGAAGAGCACCTGGAGCGATTCCGTGGACCAGGATCCAAGCCAGAGGAATCCAGCGAAGCGCCAAGGCAGACGCTTCGGCTGAAGTCCCGGTCACGATCCCCGGGCAAAAGCCGAGCCGCTTCGGCTCCGGCTGCCTCCGAGAAGGGCCAAGGAAAGGGCAAGCAGAAGAAAGTGCAGTTGACTCGAGCTGTCAACGTGGCCACTCAGGATGCTGCCCGTGAGGCCAAGAAGGGAAAGGGAAAACGATATCCCACTCCCTCAAGTGAGCCTGATGAAGGCGATGAAGATCCACTCGCTCTCAGGAGTTTGGAGCTGGCATCCATGGAGACGCCAATGGCTCATCAGGTGACCTTGGATTCAGGAGCCGCGACCTCCTGCATCCCTGTTGAACTGGCCACCGCATTGGGCTACAAGCCTATCCAGCCTGAAGGCACCTGCAAAGTCTACAAGACTGCCTCAGGCGAAGTGGTCAAGGACCTTGGCAAGATCGATGCCATGGTGACCATCGGCATCGGCCAGAACTCCCTCAATGGACGTTGCTGTTTCCGGGTGATGGCGGTTGCAAAACCGCTGCTCTCCGCGGGGGCCCTTATTATGAGCAAGGGCTGGTCCATTCAGATGCACGGATCTGGTGGACATATCTCCCGAGACGGGACTAAGATCCCGATCTCGTTCAGCAACGGCGTCTGTTCTGTGCCGCTTGCATTCCACCCTTTCGTCCGGCACCGCAATGGGTAAGTCCGGTAGTGGACGAACAGGCCGAAGAGGCCGAGCCAGGCGACGAAGTGCCGCCTGAGCTCAAAATCAATTCTCCCATTCGCCCGACGCGAAAAGAGTTTGAAGAGCATGCTGTTTCACACTTTCCTTTTAGGTCTTGGTGTGAGGCCTGTGTAAGGGGAAAAGCTAAGGCAAACCCCCACAGGAAGATAGACCACACCGATGAGACAACCCCAGTAGTAACTGTAGACTACTGTTTCATGAACTCGCGGACTGATGACGTAGTTTTGGACGAGAAGACTCATGCACCAATTCTTGTTGTCAGAGATCGATGGACGAAGCATCTTTTTGCTCATGTGTTGCCCTACAAAGGTGTGACAAAAGGTCCATATGGATCCAAAGTACTTTTGAATGACATCAAGAAACTCGGATACTCCAAACTGATCATTCGACATGATCCTGAACCTGCTCTCACCTCCGTTGTTGAAGCAGTAAAGAATGGGTTTGAAGGAACCCTGATCATCGAGAAGAGCCCGAAAGGAGTCAAAGAATCCAAGGGAGAAATTGAACGAGCAGTTCAAACCTTGGAAGGACAAGCCAGGACTCTTCGAGCCGCAATCGAGTCGAACTATGGTGAGAAACTTCCTGACGATTCACCTGTTTTGACTTGGTTAGTTGAACACGCTTCCACAGTCTACAATCTGTTTTTCCGATCTACCGAACTTCAAGACGGAAAGACTCCGTATTCACGACTTCGTGGACGTGAATGGAAAGTAGCAATTCCACCATTTGGTGAGGCCATCGAATACCTCAAGAGAGGCCACAAGTTCGAGGCCCAATGGACCAAAGGAATTTTCAAAGGAATTTTTCTAGGAGTGAAAGACACCACCACAGAGAAGATAGTAGGAAATTCCACAGGCGTTTTCACAGTGCAATCCATTCCGAGAAAGCCAGAAGAAGATCGATATGATTCAGAGTTGCTGAAATCGATCACTGGAATTCCCTGGGATCCTCAAGCAATTCGCGAAGAACCAGCGATTGCAGCCCCAAGGGAACCAATCATTGCCAGCCCAAGTGGTGAAGCTTTGGTGCAACCACCGGCAATGGATGACAAGAGAAGAAAGCTGAGAAGGCTTTACATCACCAAGAAGGACTTGGAAAAGTTTGGGTACACTGCAGGTTGCCCAGCTTGTGATGCCACACAGATTGGCAAGAGATCTACAGGCATCCATCACACCAACAGGTGTCGAGACAGACTTGAAGAGAGCATCAGAGGAGAAGAAGAAGAGAACCCAAGAGTAGCAAGACATGAAAGCCGAGTTGGAGAGGCAATCACTGGCATGCCACAACCCGTCAGTGGCAAGAGACCTCAAATCCTTCATGGATATGAAAGCAAAAGACCATCGGGAGTTCCCGATTCGTGTCGAGTGTTCGCACGACTTGACGTCGAAGCTTACTGTTTTCAAACCACCATGCCAGGAGGACCTGATTGGTCTACCGTCTGGCACCGAGTCACAAGAAACCATGCAAACAACGCAATCATTGAGTGGAGTCATGACGACAGACCTTCCACCAGAGATACTCAATGGAGCATTACCACACAAGATGGACATTGTGACAGAATTGTGGTACGAACCAGAAGCAGCACCACCAACACCAGGCACAGCATCAGCTTCAGCATCAGGTATTCGCAGACCACGCGAACCTGAACCACATGGAGAAAAGAGAGAACACGAAGAACAACATGAACCAGCAGGATCACCCACAGCAAAAGCCAGAGTAGATAGAGACAAGAAGAGAAAGGCAGAAAGCGAACATGAAGATGAAGCCGAGAGAACAAGAGACATCCAGAGCATTGAGATGGCTTTAGAAAGCCTAATCCTAGAAGACAGAGAGAGAGTGCTATCTAGCATCGACCCAGAGAAACCAGTGTGTGAAGAGAAGATCCCACTGCCAGAAGAAATGGCAGAAGAGGCAAAAGACTGGTGGTACTATGACGACATCAGTGGAAAAGAGCTGCTACCTGAGAAGGTAGAGAAAGCCAGAAAAGATGAAATCGACATTGTCGAATCAATGGGAGTCTGGGAGAAGATCCCAAGAAGCAAAGTTCCAAAAGGAACCAAAATCATTGGAACTCGATGGGTAGATGTGAACAAGCAAGATGAAACCAATCCTCTCTACAGAAGTCGATTGGTAGCGCAAGAGATCAAAAGAGGCTCAGGTTTTGACGAATTTTTCGCAGCCATGCCGAGCCTTGCAGCTTTGAAGCTACTGCTAACCATTGCAGTCAGCGACAGCCTTCCATTGGAGAAAGGCGAAAGAAGAAAAGCAAAGCAATCTTTTCTAGGATTTTTAGATGTGAAGAGAGCTCATTTCTACTCCAAAGCAACAAGAGAACTCTATGTTGAAATTCCATCAGAAGGCAAGAAACCTGAAGATGGAGATGTGGTAGGAAGATTGGTCAGAAGTCTTTACGGCACCAGAGACGCACCCATGAATTGGGAGCTGACCATTGCAGAGTTTATGAAGAAGCTAGGATTTGTACAAGGAAAATCAAATCCATGTATTTACTACCATGCATCCAGAGAACTTCGAACAGAAGTGCATGGAGATGATTTCACAACCGTTGGAAGCTTTGATGACATCAAATGGTTTCACACTTCAGCAGCCAAAGAATGGCAAGTTGTGGAACGAGGCATTCTTGGTCCACCAGGTTCACCAAAGGCAAGTCAACAGATCAGAGTGCTGAATCGCATCATCACCTGGTCAAATGAAGGCATTTGGTGGGAACCAGATCCAAGACATGCAGAGTTGATCATCAAGTGGTTAGGCACTGGTCAACCAGGCAAGATCAAAACACCTTTGGCCAAGCCAAGTCAAGAGGAACTCCAACACGAAGAAGTTCCGCTGAGCGCCGAAGATGCAACGATGTATAGATCTATTGCTATGAGAGCCGCGTATCTGGCACAAGATCGACCTGATCTGCAAACTGCAACGCGCTCATTGGCACAAGGTCTACAGAACCCAACATCGAGGCATTGGAATATGCTGAAACGATTGGCTCGATATGTCAGGTATCGACCAAGAGTTGCACAGTTGTTTCCAAACCAAAGCACCTGCAACCCCTTCAACATGTGGTCAGACGCCGACCATGCAGGTTGCATAAGGACACGAAAGAGTGTGTCAGGAGGCGTGCTCATGGCCAACAAATGCTGTCTCACTACATACAGCAAAGGCCAAGGAGTTGTCTCCCTGAGCAGTGGCGAATCCGAGTACTACGGACTTGTTTCCGGAGCATGTCAAATGCTTGGAATCGCATCAACAGCAAGAGACTGGGGATTGTTTCCCAGCAAAGAGGTGACAATGGACGCTTCCGCTGGCATTGCCATGGGAAACCGTCGAGGCTTGGGACGAGCTAAACATGTTGACACTCAATACCATTGGGTACAAGAGCGCACAGCAAAGAAAGAGTTTCGTCTCAAGAAGGAAGGCACCGACCGAATGTTGGCCGATGTGCTAACGAAAGCTGTCACCGAGGAGAAAATGACAACAGCCATGAAAGGCATGAACTTCCACTACTTGGAAGGTGAGCATGAACTGACTTTGAAAGCGTGAACGGCTTGAGCTAGAGTAGGTACATCTTGGTCTTGAAGAGGTACTGAAGGGCTACGAGCTAATTCACCGAAGTGCTAATCCTGACTCGCTTAACTTCTGGGAGATGTTAAACTCGGGAGGCGTGATCAGATGTAGCACCAGTTACATGTACATGACATAGCTTGTATAGATGTATGTTTCACTGCAGCCGTTTGTGGCTTACTTTTGTGTTCATTTCGATACCAGAGCTCACGCGTGTTTGAGCTAAAAGTGGGCCTAAGCTTCTACTCCAACCTTTGGGACAGTGACTTGGGGTCACAGAGTTTAAGAGCCTAAATTCTCCGTTCAGTACCAAATCTCTCAATCTTACTTTCAGAAAAACTCGGGCACCAGAAGTTTAGACAACCCACTCTCATGTTGTCCCGCTTCCTGGAGGGCACAGGTGGGCCTGTTCAGATGGAATTATGCTTCTGCCATACCATCGTGCCAAGGTTCGAGACGATCCAAGAGCTATTGAGCGCAGCGAGCGCAGCGCCTGACCTCGAGTTGACCTTTGCCAAGGTTCGCGTGGAGCAGATCTACTTGCGAGAAGTCTTGGCCTCCCAGGACTCCTTAAGGCCATTTTTAGGCCCATGGGTTCAGAGTGGTGGGAGATGTGTTGTTAGGATGAGTGCTGTGTGGGGGATGGGAGAGCGATGTTGACCACCCTGATGTTGATTCTTCTTTACATTGGCGCTCAATGTGCAAAAATCAGAGGTCTACGTCGCATCAGTCCTCCACTTCCGAGGTCTTAGGAGCCGACTTGCGCTGTTGTGGCACCAGTCGTTGTGTTTGGTTAGGACCCGGCCATTTGGTGCCTTTGCTGGCGCAAAAGGGGGTAAAGGAATGAATCCGATGAGATACTATTATTCCGGGAGAACAATTTGTCAGTAGATGTCGGTCAGAGAGGATGAACAGACCTTGTGACCACCGCTTGCACCCAAATTCGATGATTCGTCATGTTTCCCTGAACCAAGTTATCTTGACATGCTTTGACTTACATCACCTTTTCAATATGATTCCAGTTCCTTTTCTTTTAAAAGCCAACGGTCACCGCGTCCATGCCACGTCCGTCCTGGGGGCCGAATAATTCCATCGTTCGTTTGGTCAAGGTGAGGAGTCGAGAGGGGTGACGGTGGAGGCCTCGGAGCTGGTCGCCCAACTGGGCCAGCAGTCAGGGCTCCTAAGTCCGACGCAGTGTTCCCGCGACCCGCGACCGCGACCGGATCAGGCAGGTTCTGGTTTTTGTGGCCTCCCGGTGAATTCGAGCGTCACATGCGATAATGTGTGAACATCTAACAAGGGGAAGAGGTTTGTCAGAGGATGTTACTTTTCCTTATCAACGGCTTGTCAAACGGAGATGTTCTCGAACCCACCCACAGGTGGGACTTCGATTCGATCGTCCCAGGTTGGGATCTGACACACTCTTCGTCTCCGAGCGTGTGCCGATGCTTTTCGCCGGGGATGGTGGCACTGGGTCGCACCTCCACATTGACCGAAAGCCCCTGCTGCAGCCGCTTGGCACTGGAACTCTTCACAAGAGATGTGAAAGTGATGCACCAAAGAAGATGGAAATATGTGGTTTTGAGCTCCACTTGTTGTTTTGTTTGAATGTCTTTTGGAGCCACTGGTGTATTGCTGACGGTGGAATTTCATGGGAGTTCTTTAAAAGAATGCACCGCAAGGGTTGGGAGAAGTCACGGGTGGCTCTTGAGAGGCTGGCTATTTGATCTATGCTCAAAGAGAAGGGACCATGATGAAACAGTTTCTCAGCAGACAGACATGATCAGACACGTATTCATTTGTGGCGTCCAAAACCCGGCAAAGGCGCAGGCGTTGCACCCAAGATATGGCGGCTATGATTTCAAGGGATTGAGATACGCCAGTCACTTGCAGCATGCGTAATACGCCAGTCACCCTGCAGTCATGGCAGGATGCTCTTCAACTCTCAGGTTGCAAAGACCATCTTTCTTCGTCAACATTAGCCCCCCAGGAGCTGTGATTTCTATATCTACGAGCAAATGCCATGGAGGTCCAGGTCATGGGCTTAAGGGGGTGTAGAGTAGACAGGATCAGGAAGACTCCATCGGCAGAACTTCTTTCCTGGACCCTCTAACAGGTGGTGCCCATTCTTCCCATATAACCTACATACCGCCAGAACCCGGCTTTGGGGTGCCATTGGTCGTATTCCAACAAATTCATGTCCTGGTCAGCAAACCATCCAAAAAACCGGGTGTTGTTTCAAACATATTCCAGACACTCCATGAATGGCATATTTGCCTACATTGACCCCTCTGGCACCAACCCAACTGATCGGTATAAATATGCCATACACCCATTCGGTCGCGTCTGTGGGAGCGTTCGAGCCCAATTCGGTTTCGAACCCTTCACGGCTCCAGGTTTTGCCATGTCCTTCATGGCCGGAAATTCTTCACCGTGGCTCCCAACGGTGGTCGGCCCCCAGGCGTTTCCACACGCTCGGTCGGTCATTGCGACGCCCGCCGCAGCGTGCTGCGGTCCGTCGAACTGCAGATGAACACGGATCCTCGAAAACTGGTTTCGAAGTAATAGCATCCTTGTTCCTATAGTAGCTACTTGCTCCTAGTAAGGCCAGGAGCCCCGAACGTAGCTTCTTGTTGAGGGGAAGAAGTCTTCCGCGGGGCCATGACGATTCGAGTCCTGGGGTCGTGCGGAGCCCACAAAGAGGCGTCATTCGGAAGTCCAGATGGGCAATCTGAATCAGAGCTCAGAGCTCAGCTTGACCTCAGAGCTCAGCTTGATTCTTCGATTCCCAGCCACGGCCGCCACGGTTTCCCAGCCGGTTTCGCCGGTTTCCCAGCCGCAGCGGTTTCGCCGCCACGCAGCTTCGCAGGCGCTGTGGTGCCATGGCGCTGTGCGTCTCCTGAAGTTCAACTGTCGACCTCCACGTCCGGTGTCGAGGTGGAGGAGTACCTGGTGCAGCCAGAGGTCTCGGTGGCGGTGCTGAGACCGGGAGACGCTGGGGCCACAAGACGAATGGCCCATGTCGTACCCGGGTCTTCCCGGATCTCGAAGTGGGACTAAATGGCATACTGATGCGTACGGCTGCATACTGTAACTATAACCATGATAGAAATTATCATGGATTATATATTGTATTGTTTTTGTTGATATCTCATGTATATCCCATCTATGATATACCGATCAGGTTGTATATGGTTTTATCCTATCCCATTGATGATCCTGATGTGAATAGACATAACGTCTACTGGACTCTTCCAGTACTCAGTCACGCGTGCATGGTGCGACACTCGACAACATCAGGGCAGTCTTCGTATGCTGGGCGACGGCCATGTCTCGGTGTTTACTCTAGATGCCCGTGTTTCCAACAGTACACACTGGAGAGATTCCGCACTAGAAATTCTCATAGACATTATATACTGTGATAAACTTTATCGTAAAATATAATATATACTGTAGAGAGAGAGGAACAACCGTTTGCTTGTGGCTTGATGTTCCAGCGTTTTTTGGCATGATGTTGTTTCCATTCTTTTCCGGTGCTGATGGAGAGAAGAATGGCGGGACACATCCATGTCAGTCTCAGGATTCTCGTGGAGTTTGTTCTGAGTACAGGGCCTCTATATTAGACCCCTCTAGGTCCCCTTACATGGTGCCAGGGCTGCTGGGCTCTCCCAGGAAACAAGACCAAGGCTTTGACTTCTCAAATCAGACAGGCAAAGCTGCGACAGATCCCTCTGATTTTCTGCCCATCCAAGGACTTGATGCTCTTTCTGGGCCAGTCCTGCCACGCAGGCAGGGTGGTGGATCCGGGGGCAACTATGCCAGAGTAGGAAAAATGACAAAGAGCACCGTTGGTTTCAACATGATTACAGTATTCCCCTATGCCCCTCCGGACTTCTGATTTGTGAAGGAGCGTTTTTAGACTGGTGGGAAACAATCAAGCCCGCCAGCCACAATGTTGATGGGATGCTGACTCAAAGATCTAGGATGATATATATATATATAGTAACAATTTGTTCAGAAGGTATAGCTGGCCCACTGAGCTGGGGCCTGCCTGAAGCTGGGAACATGTTTGTTGAAACTAAGAACATGTAGTTTCAATTTGATTGATTTGTCCAGTGCATCATGAACACATGGTAAAAGGTGAAGCTGGATGAACCAGAACCTAGTTCCACGACACTGAGGGACTCAGTTCTTTGGTTCACGATACTGATGGACACATCCTGACTGGTGAGCCATCCAATCTGACTCTTAAGAGGTCAAACTTTTGAATCGCTTGGCATCCCTTAGGGTTCTGGATGCGCTGTAAACGCCAGTTACATATTGGAATCGAATCTGTTAATCCCCGCTGGTGGGGACATTTTGACCCATCATTTTTCCACACAAAAAAAAACTATAGGTTTTCTATACACATGTCTTGTTTGTGAACAATATGACAATGTATCACAATTCTCCAGCCCTTTGCCAGGCTCCAATGGTGCAGGAGAGGTGTGTGTCTCCTTGTTCCATGGCATGCAGCCAGTCTCCTACATGCTGCAAGGGCTCTTCGGTCCCGGATATCAAGCGATGGCTCGAATGATGGCAAACAAAATCTGTGCAGTTGCTGCCAGGGTTTGAGGGGAAGGATGCAGGACTCTGTTTTGGATTGGCCAAGACTGCTTGGAGATCATAGCAACACGATGGGTATTCCAATCCTGTCAGTTTCAATCTATATTACTATAATATGCTGTAACCATCTCCAGGATCCAGGCTCAGCTTCAACCTCTTCGTTCTTAGCTTCGGGGAACCCGAACCTAGATCCCCACATCAACTCTGGCAGTGTTGCGAAACTAAGTCACCAGGTTCATTTCGGCGAATCAAAGTAGATGGTGAAGGACCTCTATATAGAGTCACCTTGCATCACCTGGACCCAAACGTCGAAGGTCCCTTTCCATCCACAGAAGTCCTGCGGAACTGCTTAGCCTAGCGCGCTGTGTCTGCATCGGCGGCTCTCATCGAGGCCTCCTCCGAGGCGCTGGCACCCTTCATGAGCATGCAGGAGCGTGTTCAGAGCGAAGGGGACACGAAGCAAAGAAGAGGAGACGTGTTCAGAGCCAAAATGTTCAAAATGCACCCATATTATCCCTGTCGGTCTTAAGGTGTATCCTCCGGTCTTGTAGTCTTCAAGAGATTTGAAGAGTCTTGAACTCATGCCTTGCACCAGTGTCGAGGAATACATCCCTTGCACCCTTGTGGAAGTGGAGACATATTGATTTGCCTTTATTCAGTACCTTTTGGGGGCATAGTATGCCCATGCCCCATACCGACGGTATTTCTGAAATCATCAGCAGCACAACGGTTCGACGGTTCTCAAAACGACGAACTCATTGGACTTGATCGTTGGAGTTTACTTGCTAAGTTGACTGGTTTAGACCAATTGTTGTGAGTGGTGTGGAAGGTGAAGGAGAAAGAAAACTCGCTTTAGCGACAGGGCCTGCACGGTTCTCAAGATGATTCTTGTAAGGCATGCCCCTCCAATAGTCTTCCCGAGAAGGGTAAGTCCAGATAGAACTCCTGAAGCCATACGGTGGATAAACATGAAGTATCCACCACTCTCCTGTGCATCAACGACTAGCGTCACCACTCTCCAACGGTGACACGGTGGCTTCGTGATTCCGTCACGCCCGGCGACAAGAGGACCGGGTCCTCAACCCCTTGCCGTGGTCCAAGTGCACGCCCGGGTCTGGAGCTCAGTGCTGAACAAGAAAGTGCCGAAAGAAACGTGGTTGGAAGGCAGTGAAGGCGGGGCTCGAGGCGGGGAATTTCAGGAACTAATTGAGGTATAAATTTGTTGTTACAAGACCGTTGCAAGGATTTATATATTGTATTGATGTGAATGAATCATGTATGTCTTGTTTCAGTTTAGATTTATGTATTTGATGCACTACTCGAACCAACGAGTTGCACAACTCGAGCCGTGAGCCCAACTCCCACCTGGGATCGACCAGTGAGGTGGGCCTAGGTTTGACACCGTTCGCCTATTGAGACAAGTGTTTGCTGGCCCAAATTCATCAAATCCATGTCAAACAGGTATAGTCAGAAGCGATTTGATGCCTGTAATGATATCCCAACATCAATATACATTGTTACAAACAGCATTCTAGCCACTGCTTGGCAAATGAATCATTCCAGCATGCAAATCCGTTGCTCTTGCATGCTATTGCCACGGAGTTTCTCCAAGTGCATGCGGTTCAACACCTCAATCTTTTTCAACAGTGTCAACAGTCAACAAAAGCCCTCGAGTCCCACGCGCCCTTTGTTTCTTCCCCGTACCGTACCGTGTCACGTGGGCCAAGGCCGGGGTCCTATACCAAAGATTTGCATGGGCTCTCGGTGCCACCGCAGGTCGCAGGTCACCGGTTTCCTTGGGAGAAGTCCTGATCATCAATCACCAAAGCTCATGGTGGAGAAGTTTTACATGTGTACCTATGGTTGGGGTTGTATTCATCACAATACTTGGAATGTTGAACAGATATTTTCTACAATAGCTTGTGTCTCGAACACGTGTTCTCGGTGAACTGCGTGGGCTGAACTGGCAAGGTGGACCCTTGCAGTGTTGAGATTCTTCTGGACCAGCGCTATGATTCTCATAGATGCGAATAGAACGAATCATGAATCCACGCTTAAACGGTTTGAGCTGTTTTAGGAATAAGGGTTCCAACGGGTTCTTAGGGTTTCAGGTATGGAACGGACTAATGAATGTGGTTTTCTCGCATCCGGCCACAAGGGTTCCGCGTAGAACTTTTGTAGACCTGAAGACTGACTCACCTGCTGGGAAACAATGGTAAGCTTTAAACAGTCTGGGAACTGGTTTCCTGCACTGGTGGAACCAGTTTTTCCTTCCAACATCGGTTTGTTGAAAGCTTTTTGCTCTGACATGTCCGTCATGGATGTCTTTGACCCAGCTCTTACTTATCGGAATCAGCGGATGCAGAGGTGAATAGGCGAGGCAGGGTGAAGAAGACGTCAATGATCCACAATCGTAGCAATGGTGTATGAGCTGGAATTGATCTCCTCCCAAAATCAATCAAATCATATTCTCAGGATTTCTCAGCCAGGGTTTGTTTGCAATGGTTTTTCATGCTTTGATACTTTGAGACTCAATCATATCTTGAGCGTTTGGTCTTTATGTCGGAGAATCAGAGAGTCAGTTTGTCCCTGCCGTCCTTATTCTTCAGCTCCTTCAAACCGTGGTAGCTGCAATGCTTGGAAAGATGATGAATGAATATGAATGATCCTTGGCACTCAAGACATGACCCAATGCCTGAACACCTACACCGCACCCTGGTCACGTGGCTGGAGATGACGACCGAGCCGCCCCCAGGCCCTCGCTGCCGGGAGCAGGTTGGAGGCCCCAGGAGGTGGTTGGAGACCAGGGATGAAATCATCGGAAGAACTTTGTTTTCTCAAGTGCATCGCTACTAGTAACAAGTCCCAAACTTGGCCCCGTGTAGACGACTTGTTGAACAAGCCCTCGAGCCGTCAGATGAGTCACCCCAACGAACGGGACGGAAGAGGTGGTCCGTTTGGGCCAAGGGGTGGACGGGATACTCATTCTGCATTCCCATAGCTGAGCCTCATGGGCACAAAAGACCCTGCACCAGAAAATGGAGATCCTAGTGCCATTGGTACAACCAGAGCCCATCCGCTATTGATAGAGTGTCCCTGTTGCCGCAGGGTGCAGACATGGCCTTCCTGTCGCCTTTTTGTACTGTTTGAGTCTTGAGTCCATCTCCTTCCATACCAACAACGGAGATGGACGTATGGAACACTTTTGTACTGTCTGAGTCTTGGTAGTCCTTCCATGGCCGTATGTCTCCTTCCATACCAACAATTGGTAGAACTTGTTCATGACTTTTTGTGGATCGCACCTTTTGTGCCGTTGCCGACCACACTCGCAAGTTAAGAATTGACAGACTTACCCAGAAAGGCACAGAGCACCAAGCTGGTCACCTGAGTCATGTGGATGGGTGTCCCTACCAGCAGGCAATTGTACAAGTAGCATTCAAGTTCCGGGAAAACCCGACATGGGGACCTACCTCAGCTCACTATGTGAATCTCTAAAGAATTCCTCGGATCCGAACTGAACCTATTGCAAATGATAGCAATGGTAGTCCAGTGCAGAGCAAGTCCCATCATTTTGTGCAACGTTTCTGGACCGGCAAGCCACGTTGGTCCATGGATGTTCGATTTCCACGACCTGGAGACACTTGGCAGCTTCCGCGGATAAAGCTTTCATGCCAGGGCATGGGAATCTGGAAAAAGACGAGCTGTTTTTTGTTGCTCACATCCTCTACTCACAGTGAACGCACTCAAAGCTGAATACTTTAAGTAGAAACACTTTGAGTTTTGTGTCATTGTCAAATGCAGGGGCTGGCTGGCAGAAGAGACATGTAGAATCTCCTCTTCGCTCTTATTTGAGGTGTGTTCAGTGTGTTGCATTGTATGTTCTTGAAGTAGCACGCTTTGTATAGCGGTCTCCAGGTTTCCAGGTCTCGCTTTAGCACTCTGAAACGTTGTCATCATATGTTTCTCGTGGGTAAAACTGAAGGGTCGGGAACCACATCATTTGGAGTTATATGCATGAGCAAGGGCCAAAACATCCTATGAAGAGTTCTACAGGTGAACCGCCATTGATTTTGTAAGACTATGCAATTACTGTGTGTAGCGATAGGGAACCCCGAAGAGCGATACCTGGACATTTCTTCGAAAGAGTGTCCGAACCATTTTATAAGTTGCCAGCCTGTTTTGGCACGAAGCTGTTCAGGGATCTTAGGAGCAGAATGGCCAATGATAGAAAAGGGCCTGCTGATTTCAGTAAGTCTTCAGTTGCAACAGCGGCAACAGCAGTATTTGCAGCAGCACCACCACGTATTGGCGTGGGAGCCCCTCTCATGAGAACCGCAAAGAATCCTCAATGTTTAGAGAGATTGTTGGGTTGTTTGTTGTTTTTGATTGGGTCTGTGTGGAGCGATAGGGAAGGAGCGATACAATGGCAGCAGAGTAAGGAGCATGTGTTGACCGTCGCACATATAGTTACAGTTATTCTTCCAAAATCACTCTTTACAGTTTTGAGTGCCCCATGTTGTGACATATTGTGTGGTGTTTCTAGTTGGTTGACTCCTGCGTGCTTGCGCCAAGGGAAGAACAAGATGCCCAGGCGATGGGAAGATGCAAATCATAATCATATTCAGCAAAAGACAGCACTTCAAATCACCAAAATGGTCTTCGATTCCGCTGTCCATTCACAAGTTGGTAACGGACCCGCACGCCCACCCCACCCAACCCCCCCAGTAAAACGAATCATGGACAGTCGTGGACCTCCTACAGTCTAGATCGAAGGTAGGTATGCCATGGCATGTCAGAAAACATGTATAACAATTCTTCAGGTTGTAAGATGCACTTGCGATGGTTTTGAAAGACTCCTTGTGTGAGGAGGTCTCGAGTTGGGTAGGACGCCTGACTTGACTCCAAGGGACTCTAGGTGGTTGCCTTGTGTCAGGGACTCCAACGCGTTGGATGGATTTTTCATGTGATGTTCCTTCTGCGAGGAGGTGCGACGTCATCCTCCCCCAAGTAACCTTTGACCTATATATAAGCATATAAGTAACCTTTAAGCCTATAGGGTAGCATCCATTAAATGTGTTCACCTTGCAGAGGGTTTGGCCAAACAATCCGTTCAGATCCTTTAGGAGCTCTTTGATCAAGTAGAATGATATAATATATAAATGTGATTCTTAGTGGTTTTAAAGTGTGTTTATGTTATTTTAATTTGTCAGTTATTGATAAATTCATTCAGATCCTTTTCCAGTAGAATGACCTCGAGACCATTGACAGCTTCCGGCCCGGACCCCACCGGCTGGACATCGCAGTCGTCGCAGCGGGAGCTTTGGCGCGAGATGGGTTTGGAGCCCGGCTTGTGACCCAGCTGAACTTGAGTGAGTTTTAAAACAACGCCGATCGACTCGACTGACTTGCCAATGGACATTTGTTGTTGTTGTTGTTGTTGTTGTTGTTGTTGTTGTTGTTGTTTGTTTCGGGACTAGACTCACCCAGAGACACTGGGTAAGAAGAACTCTTTTGAGGTTTTGGAGTGGATTGAAAGGACACTCACAAGCCACAAGACCATACAAAAGACCTATTTACTCAATTCTGCTCACTGATGTCCTCTTTGGGTTCAGGCCATCCCAGGCCCAGGCCGCTTTTCTTCAGGTTCCGAGCTCATTTGGTCAAGGAGCTCAAAGACTTAGAGCAGCTCAAGCCGCAGAAGCTCCTCAGCGAGCTCACACCACTAGGCATTCCTCCGAGAGTTAGTTTTTGCTTGAACGCATACAAGATCGAGAGCCAGCGTTTTCGATGGAAAAAGCAAACTTTTACCGAAGTTATGTTTCTAGTTTTGTTTCAGGTGATGTTTATGTTCCCTACCGTAGATAAATCATCTCCTTTTGGGGAAAACTCTTTACTTTGTTGCCGTTCCTTAAACCATAGCAAACCCAAGAGGTTGATGAGGTAATAGTAATGGCGAGTGATTTGAGCTGGGGTTTGGCCACTAGTCACTAGTCTTCAATTTAGAAAGGCACAGTTCTAGCGAGTATTTTACATTAACATTTGCTACTGGTAGCCCCAGCACTTCCAGACAGTTTGCCACGTCTCGATGCGCCCATGTTTAACGCAGGGAATCTTGAGCCGCAACCCACAAACTCTCTTTCTATCTATCTATCTTTCTTTCTTTCTCTATCTATATCTCTATCTCTATATCTCTATCTCTCTTTATCTCTATCTCTCTACATCTCTATATCTATATCTCTATCTATTTGTTTCTCTATCTATCCATCCATCTATCTATCCATCAGGCATTTCAGGCCTCTTTGAGAAGAGTGAGTTGCTCCAAGCCTTGCGAAAGGCCTGAGCGGGAAAGGGGTAGACTCCCTTGCCGGATGAAGTTCGATGGAGTCCTGGGATGAACAGGAGGAAGGAGCGTCAAAAGCACGGGATGGGTGAAAAGAATGGCCATGGCTCGTCTATATCGCTTCAGATGCCCAGCAGATTCTAAGTTTCTTGTTCAGCATCCCGCAAAAGAATAACTGCTTGAAGTTACGGGCCTACCAGTAATAAGGATGAATCAACTGACAGTACGTGTTTGAAGGCCTCAAAGGACTTTTCCTGCTTCAGAGATATGCCATGTGATCCATATGGATCCACCATTTCTTCGCGAACGTGGCTGTGGAGGTTCGCCTTTGGCAAGCACTGCCTGCTGCGCAACTGCAGCCGCTTTTGGAGCGGCCAGCCAGCCAGGCGAGGAATGGACTCGATGAGGTCAGGCGTATGTGAGTGCTTGGTCAGGAATAGACATTTGTAGTCGATGGAACCCTGTTTAATTGACCAGATTGTTGGTGTTTCCTCAATATCTTGCCACCTGCTGAGTTTCCATGTTGAGTGTTTGGATTCTGGCTCCTTCCCCAAACCATCCTGAAACTTTGCCAGTTCGGAAGTGGTACCTTGGACTTTGGGTCTACCTGCCTGCCGGAAGTTTGGAATCCGGGCCCGAACCAATGAGAAGGGTTTGGTTCGGGTCTGGACCCGGGCCATGGAGGGTTCAAGGATTCTTAGGGCAAATGAAAGAGGGCTTGTTCTAAAAGGTCTGAAGCCACTCAGTCCACATACCTCTTAGTCTATGAGAGTCTTTGTGCCAGTGCATGGGTGAATGTAGACAAAGCAATTAGCTCCGGCTCACAGGGGTTGCTGTTGTGTGAATCCACCATGGGATTCACAGGTCTTGCTATTTCCAAGCCCCTTTGCACTCATACCTAAAGAACAACAACCCCAAAGTTCAACAGAACATATCTTCATCACTATATGTCATGTGTAAGTATATGTACGTATCGACTGTCACGGGTGCTTGGGGGCTACGAGATCGCGTCATGATGTTGTCGGCGACGTCGTCGTCGACGAGTCTCCCGTCTCGGAATCCATTGGAACCGATGCGTGCTCTGCATCGACGCTCCGTTCACCAGCGAGATGAATCCATTTGGCCCTCCGGAGAGTGAGATGTTGTTTGGTTGGCTGGTTTTGAGGGTTTGAGTCGGTGAAAAGAGGGGGGTTGTTGGGTTTTAGGGTGGGTACAACCAGGAGGTTTGGATCAACCCCTAGGCCCTATGTGATGTAGGAAAGACTTGGAGGACCACTAGCGAACGATGGGACGTCTCATCCCCAGATATGCCCAGGGTGCAGCAATCTCCTCAAACAGGATCGTTTTCGCTGAAGCAGTGCACAAGCAGTGGGCTTGTATTCTATCGAAATCCACCCCCCGCGCTTGTTCTACACAAAGGAGCCCGGCTGAGCAGTGGGGTTGTTTGGGCACAAACCAGCTGCTTTTGAGGCAACGAAAAGCCAGCTCCTAAGTGAGCTGATCTCTCAACACTTTGGTGCCCCTCGTTCTCGCCATGGCCCCTTGGCTGAGAAAAGGACTGAGCTCAGTGTGAAGTACGGACCATTACTGACAACCCAGTTGACAACCCTATAGATATCTTAGATCCATTAATCCTTTGAAATAAGGAACATTCTGTTGAAATACCGTGTTTTTTGGAGCCCCCAGTTCTTTCAGAAGCTTGCAGAGTTGGGACCGATCATCGATTTGTCTATATCTTCCTGGACTTGTGAGACTTCCACTGCGCCGACTGCCGACAGCCCAGCCTCTGACTCGCACAGGCAACATTTTTGAGACCAAGACCAGCCCCACCAATGGAGGCAGCCAGCTTCAAAACAAGACTGCTAGGCCTTCGTTGTTCATGTGAAAATCATGCCGCTATAGGTCGCATGATCGCACCTGGGAGTCGGAACAATTTGACACAAGAATCCTGGAAGAGGAAGGTTCATGCATGTGCATTTTGTCCTGGTTCGGAACTTTAATCTGCGTGCCGCGCTTTGCAGAACAGTTGCTTTGTCAGGCCAAAGCCAGCAAAGTCAACAAAGTTTTCCTCGCAGCAAAATGGGCGGAGGCAAGAAGCAGGAACAATGGCAAGCTCCACTGCTTGTGAAACGGGTGGAACATGGCGGAACAGTAGTCAGTTGCCTTTAAATGAACGGGAATTGTTTGAAGTCCACTGCACCTGCGCAATTTGCGATTGCTATAGTGGTTTTTCTCTTCTTTCCGCGCCGAGCTTTTGGGCTCAGTCGCCGGAAACGGATGGGGCTCTCCTTGCGAACTAGCGCCCGGACCGAAGTAGATCTCGGAAGTCCCCGAAAACCAAACCAGCGACGTCGGACTTCACCAGAACCCTTGCCCGACTTCGAGCATGCAATCACGCTCCAAACACTCCGGTGGTGCGATAAGGGCCAGAGCCGATCTGGCGGCCCAACGGCCCGTGGGTTTGGGATGTGCCAGGCCGATCTGCAGCGACACCCGGCGCGGGATATGTGAACTATGCCTCTGGCATTGGCTCTCAGGCCCGGCTCAGCGCATGCTGTAGATCCTAGAGCTTCGCATGTGGAGTTCGTGAAGTTCGTTGGAGCAAGGTTGAAGGGGTTGTCTATCGACCTCATGAACTAACAATCAACTCCGCAAGTTGGGCCCAACTCCTCAAGTCGGGGCGTCCTTTATCAACACTTCACATCACTTCACATCACACTATAGGAGACTCATCATATAGGGCAGCAAACAGGTACGCTTTCGATCTTCGATCCAGCTGTGTTTGTCGATCACAGTACATGCCATGAATATCCATGAATGCTACGCACTCACGGCTAGTGAGGTGATCCTCCTAGGCATCTCCTGCCCAATACACGCGTGCAAAAAAGCCCAACATGCACAGATTCACCACCCTGGACGAGGGGTTCAAGGGGCTTATAGAGCTGACCATGTGGATGTGCGAGGGGTTACAGTGATCTCATCACAGATCAGTTGACTGAATCCGCTGAACCACAACAGCCTATCAAGAGCCTATAGTCATTAATTTCGGCAGTTCCCACTTGTAGCACAAGACTGCTTTGCCGCTTTACCATGTCTTATTCCTTCAGCAAGAAGAACGACCCAGTCCGCTCAACACTGCACGCGACCGGCACCGCGACCCGCGCGCGACTTGCATGATCCGCGCTCCCGTTAGGCGTTTCGGAGTAACCTGGCTGCGCAAAACATCCCACAGAAAAGCGATCTGCCGCAGTGGCCTCGGAGCTGCTTGGTGTCATAAAGTTGTAGTTCAACAATTCAGGGATTTGCAAAAGACCTGCCTGGTGATGAAGTGCAAACTGAAGCCTGGAACTTCTTGCACTGTAAACGGCTAGAGTGTTGCCAAGTGCCTTAGTTTGAGCAGGCATGTTTGAGGCAAAACCCTCTTGTGTGGTTGTAACCAATGCCAATCACTGCCATAGTTTTAGGATATCTATTGCGGCACATTGATGCTATGGGAGCATGCGGTGTCATAGGCCCAGGGGTTGCTGGCTTCAGGTCGTTCGTGCAATCGCCTTCATCTATTTGGGCTATTTTGGGCCATATACCGTACTTCTTGAGTGTCGCATACGAGTTGCTTTTCAGCATGGAAGGCCACTTGACCATTTCCGTCAAAACGGGATGAACCGAGGCGACATCCCCCGTCGCGTTCCAGGCGGCGGGTGAAGCGAGTTCGTTCCAGCCGCCAAATGAACGGAAGGATGAACCTGCCTTCATCCCTCCATGGCAGACCTTATAACTTGTTACACCTGATTACTATAGTCTTATTATGTCTTATTACTATAAAACACTGAGATCTATGGAGACCTGAATACTGGGGTGAGACTGTTGTAGATGAAGCGCTCATGACGGCTATGAGCCTAGTGAGTCTTTTTCTCGGCTAGCTAGGCACACTAGCGTGAGTTTCTGAGAGTGACCCAGGGTCACTGGTGAATCATCGATGCGGTAGCAAACAGGGAAGGAGGTGTGGAAGGCCCCGGCACGTCTCTGAAATGTTCTGCCAGACGTTTCGCATGATTTCAGGCCAGGTGAAGCTGGCAAAACGCTGAAGCTGGCAAAGCCTGTATGAAGGATATTCTGCAAGATTGTGTAAAGGCAAGATCATGTGAGTTCAGGCAGGCGACCAGGTTTGTCACCATCTTTGGGCCTTTCCTTGGGCCAAGTGGATATCAGTGAAGATATCAGCATGTCATCTCAGAACTGATGGACATACACCATTTACAGTGGTTTGAGAGTAGATGGCACAGACCTGCACAGATGTCTTTTAGATGAGGGTCCATATAAACCACCTCTTGGGGGGATTGTTCTATTTACTCTCCATCCACTATAAGGGCTCGTGGTTTGGATCTCTCACGTTTGGCTTTGCTGCACCGCGCCCGTGCAGACCCTCCGGCGGCGCGGTCGTCGCCGGCTCCGAAGGCCGCACCTCCGCAGGCCGGTCTCACCGGGTTTCATGAAGGAATGACAACAACGGACAGATCCCAACCATGTAGACTCTTGATTAGTAATACACCCCCCATATGAACAGGATGTTCAGCACCTATCCACCTGGGAGTTTCCTCTCTAGGCCGTCTGACCCTGTGTGTCAGTGACGCTTCTCACCGGGCCGACAAGGGGACCATGGCGTGGAAAGCGAGAGGGATAGAACAGGAGGTTCAATTCAATTGGAGGGGGTTTATTAATCAAGAGTTTGCATGCTAATTACCAAACAATGCCCTACTGTACATGAAGTTTTTGGTATCTCATTATTACATTAATGACTGGGGGGGCCCACTGGGGCGGTCATTTTGAGACACACTCCGACTCCAGTTAAGTCTGGGAAGCACACGCCATGGCTCTCCCCATAGGGTCCAGGACCATCCATTGCTCGGATGTCCTGCAAGGCCCCGAAGACTTTGCTTTGGAAGTACGTACTCACCTCCAAGACTATCCCCACAAGGTACGACCCGGTTGTCAGTGGGTTGTCAGACCCAATTGCCAGGTGGTTGCTGCCTTCCGTGCTTTGCTGTTAGATCCCACAGCGAAGGAAGAAGAGGCCCAGCCGATGTGAGAGAGGTGTTTTTCGAGGGATTGACAAGAACACACTCCACAAAAATGGCTTCAAACACAGTGCCCAAAATCGCCTTCTTGTCATTAATGTCGACAAAGAGGATGAGATATGAACAGGGACGCAGGCAAATAGCAACCCGCACTTTTGCAGTGAAGAGACTGACTGACAATGTTTGCGTCGAGACTTGGAGACTAGACTTAGATTCATGTAACATCATGCACCAGGACCTTCAAAGTGGCCTAGAATGAGATCCCAGGTCCAGAATATTTGGTCTTAGTGGCCGAAGAGGTCACTTTGAAGGTCGCAGATGGATGTGGTAATGAACATGTATATTTAAACACATGAATACACATGACAATATGTGGCCTCGCCTAGGGAACTTCTAGAAAAGAATGCAACTGAAAAGGCCACCCATTGGCTTCGCTTCCCGAGCCCACATGCCTTGCTTCGCTGCCAAAAGTTCGCTTTCCGAAGGTCAAAAAGTCCTTCCGCAGGCCTGCGGAGCTTTGCTGCTTGCATGGCTTATATTTGGCGGAAGCGTCTCATTGGGAGGGAGGTTTGGTCATGTTTTTTTGCAAGCCTCTGCAAGTAAGGGTCTTCAGGAGAAGCTAGGAGTTCTTGGGATTGGACATAACTGGAAAAGGTGATTGGCCTCAATGTTGTCCAGGTATTCCCCATACCCATACTGTTATATTATTAGACGATATGACTCTCGTGTTTAGGGGCTTCAGACATCTTCAGACAACGTGTTCCCTATCTTTTGCACAGGCAAGATTCTCCAAAAGAAAGAGTGAGAATGAGAGTTCTGGTAGGCTTCTGACACAATACTGCTTTCAGTGATCCAGTGCGGAATCATCTCTTTGTTTCCCAAACTTGCGAAGGCTAGTCTAGTCCACCATCCCAGCAAGGTTTGGAATAGGCCTGGCCTGTTTTTAATCCAAATCTTCTCACCGAGAATCTCTGGTTGAGGGGTCTGTTTCAGAAGATTTGGGTTGAAAGTAGGCCACCAAATTAAGAAACACTGGTGATTTCATGTACGCCGTGGGCTTTCTTGGCCTAGTTGTAGGCTGCAGTACACGCGCCAACATCTCACATCGCTCAATCGAAGCAGGCTTGCGAAGCAGTACCATCCGGATTCTTGGGCGTGTAAACATTGGTGAGATTTGGGCACGTTGGTGGGGCCATGCGGCAAAAGGCCCCTCATCATATTGCAAGTTGAACTCATGCGTCGGCCGTACGCCGTACGCTTTCAGCAGTTTCAGGAACCTCCTCACCAACTTTTCTGAAGGGCTTGTCACATTTGGACAACTTTGCCTTTTGCAGGAGGTTCACCACCCTGTGAAAAGGGAGCGCATGTGTTGGTGACGTTCCCTTGGAGATCTTCGTTGCACATCACATTCTGTTAGCCACGATTGTTTGTAAGTAAGACACCAGGGTATTTCTCTAGCTACGGAAGCTGCCGACAACCTAGTACTACATGTTCAGAGCTCAGGCTCAGCCAGCAGTTCATTCTTCTCCCCCAAAAAAACAACCAACAACTGATCGATCGGATCAGTGATCCATCCAGGCAGGATAGAATCCATTCAAGTCCCAAATCGAGATATCAAACCCCAGAAATGACGTGTTTTTCAGACCCTCCGGGCTTTCTGCGAGGACAAGCAGGCCGAGGGCGTCGACTTGGAGGTGGCGAAGGAGCGATTTCAACGCATCAAGACCGCCTACGAGACCTGCATGGACTTCCTAGAGGTTTAGGATGCTGCAGGAGGCAGACGCACCCGTGTTTTTTTGTCATGTTTATCTTTTTTAGGTCTGTTTCGCCAGCGAGGGGAACCCCTCCGACGTGCCGAAGTTGGTTGTTGTTGAACAGAGGTCCAAGGACTGTGTTACTGTAGATGAAAAGGATGAAGCCTCCAACAGATCTGGAAACAAACAAACTCTAAGGCTTCTAAGGGTTTGGGTTGTGGAAAAGACATGATGTTCTAAGTATTCGTTTGCAGCCATATATATATATATACTCTCTAGGATTTTTGCCTCCCACCTTTCACTACCCCGGCCCAGGCGATGTGAATCCTGCAGGAGGCAAGATCATCACATGTCGGAACCATGCCTAGTGAGTGCCTAGAGGCACCAATAAGATTCCCAAGATGTAGCTAAATATGGTCCAAAGATGAACACATTTTTGCGCAGTTGTTGCCGTTGTCATCCGTTGTCCAATTGTTTCATACCATCCATAAGGAGATAGTGAAGAGTATGTGCACAGATTATCCATCAAGATCATGATTCATCGGCATCCATGAAGGCGATATCAGCGATACCTAACCAAAACGTCCTGCGGCGCTCACCGAACATCACCGAATGCCAAACTCCTTGGATGCGCCTCATCCGTGATCGAGGCAGCTTCATGGGGTCGACGGAAGCGACCAACATGGCCACCATGGGTGTCTTTGTGACGTGGGGTGCATGGGGATCTGTGGGACACCAATTTGAACTGCAGAAGAGAACATACATGAACAGTCAGTAAAGTCCACTCTGAGACACGTCCAAGCATTTGGGTGAAAGAGGGTGGTTGTGATGTTTATATATATATATATATTGGAGGTGACTTAGGTGACCTAAGATACAAGCGTTGGATACAGTGCAATCAATAGATGTTTCCTCAGCCGACTTACTTCCCTTACAAATGTGGAAGGAGCTTTCATCAAGGGAAAGCCACGTGAACATCGAGCAACGTGTCCAATGTTTAGGGTCAGGGGCACCTGAGCTTGAACATGGGACCTCTCCGATTAAGGACAATCCCCGGTTAATGACAATCTACGCAATCTACGACAATCTCACATCCTTTTCATCAGATAGATTGACAGAAATGGCTGTGGGTCAAAAGCCGGATCCCCAAACCTCAGTCGGTTGATCTCCTTAGTAATTCGTCCATTCTGCTTATTTTCGCTGGGAAAAAACCCGAGGTCTCCGCGAGCCTGAAGTTCATGGCTTGAACGGGGGGGTTACCCCAACTACGACGTCCCAACTGAGAGCGATGTTGGCGATCCGATGCGGAGGTTTCGTTCGAGGATCTCCCGAGCTGGCGGAAAAGGGCGTTCAGAAAGGAGATTTGGATCATGGGGAGGTTCGAGTTCGGGGTTGATTTGTTCTGGAGAACAAGTGATGCTCAATGCTGGGAATCTGGGAACCCCCCAAAAGAAGTGGAACGTGAAAGCCAGGTCATAGAATCCAAGTGCAGAGAACCCAGAGGTCTTACAAGAGAGTCCCTGATCCGGTGGCCAGAGACGTTTGATGTGGATAGCTTCAACGACTAAGGCAGGGCACAAGTCTGCATTCTTTGCATGTGTTCCAGAGAAAGTGCAAGAGATGGGGATAGTGGAGTACAATGATCGTTGCCGACCATGGAGATGGGGGATTCTTTCGGCAATAACAAGAAGCTACGAACGTACGTAACTAAGGGCATCGGTATTAGTAACAAGTGCATCGCTACTAGTAGCAAAAAGCTACTAGTAACATTTGTAGCTTGGAAGAAAACACCCTGCATAGACGATGTGCTTTGCTCATTCACTCAGGTCTTTCACAGATGCCCTTCAAGTGCAGGAGCTCAGTGTGGGTTATCCAACCCCAAAAAGCCTTCTGCGTCACAAAGCCTGCAATGAACCTCCATTTTGCCTCAATGAAAAGCTCGCGATCTAGACGGTAGATTGGATGAGAGAGCACAGCTGGATACTGCATCTTTAGGGAAGAAACTCATAAACCAATACAATCTTTACACGTGATACACACCAAATCGCAGGTGGTTGGTCATGGGTCACCAGCAATGAAGCGCCCCAGATTGTGGCTTGTCCAAGATGTTGTTTTGTCAGGGGCACAGAGGGTGTCATATTGGATCTTTACCTTTTTACCCCTTGGGCTTCTACAGGTTTTGTCGTTTTACCATCTCCGTCATCTCCATCAATGTCGTGCGGACGACTTGCTGGCTCCCAACTACACAAAGCCTTCTTGTCATGGTGGAAAGAGCCTGTACAATTGTACAATGAAAAGAAAAGGAATGAACTAAATTATTCTAAACACCCCTCAAAGCTGCTTTGACCACAACCGGGACAAAGGCACTCCAGTTCACACAGTTAGTTTTTGTTGAAGACCTCAAAACTTGTGACGCGCAGGCGCACCTTTCGGACTCTGAGCCTGGCAGAGCCATTCTAACCAGCTTTGTTGCTCCCCCCCATCAGCGACGCCCTGTGGTAGGTTAGAGTTGCATTCTTCTAGGTTCTCTATTGAGGAAAAATATGGAAAGCAGTAAAGCAGGCATCCCAATGATGGGCTAATGGATTTCTTCTTCGTTGCTTGGGCCCTACTTCCAGATCTCCCCAACCCCCAGGAAAAGTGACGAAAAGACATGAACGCGGCCCAGGTCTAAGATGAAGCGCATGGCAGCTTCGACCCCGGGATCGTCCGGGTGGCCCAGGTCCACCAAGGCCATGAAGATGGGTCCGACCCTTGCTTGTTATGCTTCAGCTTAGATGTGTTCCATTGTGTTCAATCGTGTTCGTGTACCCACCTTGGAGCCAACGGGTAAATCCCAGGTGGTCAGTCTCACGAAGTGTTGACGAGTTGCTAGATGCTCAAGTTGGGACAACATTTGAATCTTCGGTGTGTTGGTTTTCCTCGGATGACCTGACCTGTTGTCTTGTCTAGTTGCGAATGACTTGGATGATATGGATTGCATTTTGATCCACAAGAAGATAAGATCATGCCATATCATGCCATCAGACGGAGATGACCTTTCACAAGTTCGTAGTGTTTTGGACCTGGTTTGGTTGTACCTTCAATCAAATGAAGATTTTTCCCCACCCACTGCAATTGATTCCTCCTCTACTAGGTTTGGGCCTGTCCTTTGCAACGTCCAACAAGAGTTGGTTCGATCTTGCCAAGTCATGTTTTTTGGAAGTTGTAGTAAATTAATGGGCTGGGACCCATCCAAACTTCGTTTTTCAATGAACCAAATAGATTAACATGCAAATATCATTGACCCCTGTTACGAGAAATAAATAATCAGACATATAAGTAGGGCTAACGCCCGGGTGCCGCCGACCCCCTTGTTTTGGGCAAGGATGTGGAATCTAATGTAGTTAGGGGCTAGTGCTTGTTGATTCGTTCGGGGGTTCAGACACTGCAGTTTTAAGTGCGATTGCCGGGCAGGCGCGCAGCCAGCGTATGAGGAATGACATGGGTTTCAAGCAGGTGCCCCACATAGAACCACAAGTGGCCATGAGAGAATTGAAGCAACCTTGGGCCAGGAAGTATTACTTTGAGGCGGCGCCGAAGCCGTGCCAGAGCCAAAATGCCTAACGTTGCCTGGCACGTTGCCTGGAACGTTGCCTGGCACGTCGCCTTCGGGAGCCCATGAAACAGTTGCCTGGCACGTGCCAGAGGCTC